AGAAGAAATTTCACCATCCTCGCCTCTAAAGAGCACTTTGTTTACACTTCCTCGAAGATAGACTTGTGCACTCTTTGGGGTCCACGGGGTATTCAGAACTCCTTGCCAACACAATTCAAAGAGACTCTTTCTACTCCAGTCATCCTCATTCATTGTCAAACTTTCAGATACATAGGCACATCTTAGTCTTCAAACTGATATTGTTGAAAGACTTCTTATAGCTATGATTACTTTCACAGCAGTTTGGATAAGGATGCTATTAGTTATGTTTCCTTTACCTAGTGATTGCCAAGTTTTCTATCATGAAGTGTAATATTTACCATGACTGTCAAACATTTTTCGGCTTGTAGACATACAGAAATTAATTGCTCATCTCTGGCGATTGTAAATAGTAGTAGAAATAGGAACTCCTTCAGCAAAATTGGCTTCATTCAGTGTCTCTGTGCATTCTTATCAAAGTTTATGATTAAAGACCTGAAAACACAGCTAGTCAGCTTCAGTGAGGTTAAAAGATGGTGGAAAACTTCTTACACTGTGTTTTTCCACAGTCTTGGATACGCATGTCAGCTTATCAGCACATGAAGAGACACAAAATTGAAGCACTCTTTCTCAGATGACTTACCAATTTCTGCACACAGTACGAAAGATTAGCCAGAAATTCCTTTACAAGAACTGCCTTCCAGTAGAATTGATGCCTTTGCTTCAAGTCTTTCCTGTCCTGCCTTCCTAATTTTTCTTACCTGTAGCTTCTTTAACCAGATAACCAATTATCAGAACAAGACCCTGTGGGCTTTGTATCTAACCCTGAAGAATAATCATGAACTATTTAATTTTCTTGAACCAGAAAAAAAAATTAAGCTTCCCAGAAAAGTACTGGAGAACTAAAAGGTGGTCCGAGGTCTTGTACCATTGCTTGGCCAAGCAAGACCACCGCCTACCTGCCAAGGCTTTGAGGCCTTGTGCTGCTGCAGGGAAAGCTCCCACAGCCTGCACCAAGATTTCTGTTTCCTTCTCCTTAGAGTTGTTCTTAGGAGTATAACAGTTTCTTGTATTGGGGGGGGGGGTGATGTGTCTGCTTTTATTTTTTTTCTTTAGCTTAGATATGTACAAGGTTGCTTGTTTATCGTCTGCTGTTATGGGTCCAGCACTTGTTTGTCTGTTGCTGTACTAAAGAGGAGCTCTCAAATTAAGACAAGCTAGGAAGAATGATTGACCACCCGCTTCTGAAACAACGGGTCTTTGAAAACTCTATGAATGATAGAGCACATTTAAACAGATATAGCACTGGAGGTAGAGCTCTCAGACTGGAAGATGCTAAAAAATGAGGAGGAACAGATGCAAACATCCACTAATAATTGAAAAGTGGAATGTATGAAGTATGCATTTAGGAAAATTTGGCATTGTAAAGAAATGGAACACATAAAAATATTCTGGGCATTAAAGAGTTAAGAATGACCAGTATTCGCATCCTTGAATCAAACAATCATATGATCATATGAAAGGAAAGATGATGAAAAACTGAGGTTGCATTCATAGTCAAAAAGACCATTTCAAGACCCATCCTAAAGTATAGTGCTGTGAGCTACAGGACACGATCAATGTGCATACAAGGAAGACTTTTTAATACAACTATTATTCATATATACATGCCAACTAAAGCCAAAGAGAAAGAATTTGAGGATTTTTACCAACTTTTGCAGCACGAAATTGATTGACTATGCAATCAAATTTCATTCATAATTAATGATGACTAGAATGCTAAAGTTGAAAACCAGGAAAAAGGACAAGTAGTCAGAAATTTTGAACTTGGTGGCAGAAATAAGGCTAGAGATTGAAAGAGAGAATTTTGTACCAACAATGATTTATTTATTACAAATAACCTTATAAAAACACAAATGGAAACTATACTCATGGAACTCAATTGATGGACTACACAGGAATCAGATTGACCACATCTGTGGAAAGAATCATGGACAATCTCAATATCCGCTGTGAAAACAAGTCCTGATAACTGTGTTACAGACCATCAATTACTTATGTGCAAGTTAGAGTTGAAGCTGAAGAAAATGAAGATAAACCTACAAAAAACAAAATACAACTTTAAATGTGTTTATTCCACCTGAATTTAAAAACATCCGAAGAATAGGTTCGAGACTTTTGATTGCTGATGATCAAAGACCAAGTGAACTGTGATGGTATGAAGAATATCATCCATGAAGAAAGCAAAAGGTCATCACAAAGGCAACGGAAGAAAGAAAAGACCAAAAGGATGTCAGAGAGACTCTGAAAATTTCAACAGAACATCAGGAAACCAAAACAAAGAAGAAATGATGAAGAGTTGATCAAAAGATGTCAAAGGGCATTTTGAGAAGACAAAGAAAACTATTGTAATGAATACAGAATTGGAGTCAGAAAATCAAAAGGGAAGAACTCCCTCGTCATTTTTCAACCTGAGGGAACCAAAGAACAATTTTAAGCTTTGAATTGCAATACTGAAATGGGAAAAATATTGAACGTTTCAGGAAGTATCAAAAGAAAGTAGAAGGAATACACAGAGTCACTTTATAAAAAAGAATTGGCTAACATTGAACCATTTCAGGAAATAACATGATCAAGAACCAATGGAAATAAAATTAAATTCAAACTATACTAAAGGCACTGTTAAAAGATAAGGAATGGGTGGAATACCAATTGATTTATTCCAACAAACAGACACAGCCTTAGAAGTGCTCACCAGGTTGTGCCAAGAATTGTGGAGGACAACTACCTGAACAATTGATTGGAAGAGATCCATATTTATTTCCATCACCAAAAAATTGATCTAGGAGAATGTGGAAATTATTGAACAATACGATTAATATCACAGGCAAATAAAATCTTGCTTGAGGTTATTAAAAAATGGCTAAAACAGTACATTGCTAGAGAACTGACAGAAATTCAAGCTAGATTTTGAAGAGAAACAGGGATATCATAGTTATATCAGATAGATCTTGGCAGAAAGCAGAAAATACCAGAACGGTATCTGTGTTTCATATACTGTGTGGTTCACAACACATTTTGGCAAACAATGAGAAGAATGGGAATCCCAGAATAGTAAATTGTGCTTATGAGAAACCTGTAACTAGACCAGCAAAATGTTGTCCAAACAGAACAAGGAAACACTGCTTGGTTCAAAATAGAGAATTGTGCATAAAGAACGCTTCCTTTCTCCATACTTATTCCATATGTGTGCTGAACAAATCATTTGAGAAGCTGGACTTTATGAAGAAAAATATTGCATCAGGATTGGAGGAAGACACATCGACCACTTGCATTATGCAGATGACACAATCTTGATAGCTGGAACTGAAGAGGACCTGAGGCATTTGCAACAGGAGACTACAGACTACAGCCTTCAATGTGGATTGCATCTTAAAATCAAGAAAACAAAAATTCTTACCATTGAGCCAATAGGCAACATCATGGTAGATGGGGGGCGGGGGGGGAGATAGAAATGGTTAACAATTTCATCTTGTTTGGATCCACAATCAAAACTCTTGGTACTCCTACTCAAGATATCAAACAATGAGTTACATTGGGGAAATCAAACACAAGGAAGAATTTGTGAAAAACTATTAAGCAACATGGATAAATCTAGAGGATGTCATGCTGAATTAAATAAACAAGCTACAAAAGGAAAAGTGCTATAGAAGACTGCTGCTATAAAAGACTAGAGAAAGGTTTACAGACAGAGGGACTCAATAAAGAATAGTATGGTTGCCAGAAAGGGGAAGAGAATGAGTGTAAAATTAATTTATAGACAACACTTATTGAATGAGTGGAGGGATAACAATGATTAGGTGTTGTGTGTATTGTAATTGGTGCTATGGAACAGAATGTGCATGAATGATGTTTGGGAAAGAAAATTAAATTTGGAAAAGATACAAATAGCTTCTGGCTTTTTGACCACTGGAGGTAGGGCTTCTTCAAGCACAGATCTCTCATGACTTTTCTATTGGTGTCCAGACCTGAGCTAATCTCTGATACTCTGATGGGAGAGAGACAGACCAATAGGTCACCAGACCTCCCTGATCTTAATAGCAGAATTGTCTTGCAGTCTGTAAAACAAGGTAACAAGTATTACGACAATTCTCAGTATATCTTTTCTTTGATTGTGTATATTGCCTCCTGAACTTACGAAAGGGCAATTAACCCAATCTTTTTCATCAATTCTGCCCACCAGAGGAGTTCTCTCTGGTGGCTCAGCCCATATGGAGCCATGCTACTAACCCAAAGCCCCATCTCTCTGGTGGGTCCACCATCAGCAGCTCTGTGAGAGTAAGATGGACAATCTCCTTCCATGTGATTTAAAGTCTCAGAACCTGACTCAGCTATGTGTCACTTCCTATTCAATGGCAACAAGTTGAGCTTTTAGCTAAACACAGCTTTGGGGAAGAACCTGAGATGAGCTCAAATACAGCTTCCTTGCCCCAGTTTACAGTTCACTGATTTCCCCTGAAGATTTCTAGGCAAATCCTAAAGTCTGTGTCTAGAAGAAAAGAAAGCACTGTGTTTAGCACAGAGGAGAGCAGATACTATTCAGCCCTGTTATTTCAGAGATGCCATATTCCACTAACACCTGGCAGGTCCTTTAGAGCACAGTTCAAAAGGTGTAATTGCTGAACGGAGTTTCCAGAGAATTTACAGAAATGATAGAGCATTCCAGCAGATTATTAACATAATCATCTCATTTATATTATAGACGAATATCTAAGATGCCTCCCAACTTGACACTTCATGAAACAGGTAGTTAATTAATGTAGGTAACACGGCATTTAACCTGAAGCCTTGCCAGCAGGCATCTGGGATGATGCAAAAGGCTAGAGAAAGAAAATAACAAGAAAAAAGAACAAGAGGGCGGGGGTAGGGACCTGGAGTCAAAAGCCTGGAAAATGGAATCAAGAGGATGACGCAGGGCTATTGCTCAGATTTTTCTAGAGACACCAATACTATGGTCTTACCAGTTCTTCATGGTTGCTTGATTTATTTTTGGTGTAGCCATAAGGGGTGAGAATGAGCTGCCCGTAGGAGTGCATGGTAAAGAAACACAGGATGTCCTCCTTCTTGTTTTCTATAAAGCTGGCCACAGCCCTTGTCTCTGGTTCGGATACAGGTCCTGTTCCACAGAATGTCAAATCTTGGCAGTTTCTAGAGGCACCAACACCTGGAATGGACAGAAAATCACAAACAGGGCATTGCGAGTTCAGTTTACAACCAAAGGAGGCAAGTGGTCACCCGTGGGTAGGGCATCTGTGGATGGAATCAGGGCTGACCTGATGCTGTCTAACTTAGTCCTGGCTCATTGTAGGACAGTCATTCCAGGTGGATCTCAGAAAGCCAAGTGGGCTGATGTTCAGTTTCAGAGACAAATTTTGTTACCTAGCCCAGGAAGAGGATGTCAAATGAAATGCCATTTTCAGCCATGCTTTTCTTTTGTTCAGATTGGGAATGATCTTGCTGAGAGGTTTGGATTTGTTTCATTATTTATGTTTTACTGTGGTCTATTACATAAAGAAATTTTTTGTTTATAATTTTGTATCATAGTGAAACGTTATTATCACAGAACAGTTACCATGTTCACACATACGATTCAGTGATACTGTGTCCACAATTTTGCACAACCACTTTCTAGATATAAATCTTCTGCATTCCATCTGTTACTCTGTGCCGTTTTAAGTGGCAACTACTCATTCTCTCTCCTCCCTCACCCCCCCCCCACTTTTCTTTGGGCCCTGTTAACCACCCACCCTCTTTTGTCTCTACCCATTGGCCTGAAGTCCCAAAGGCCACACCTCTCTGATGGTTTGAATCCACTAGTGCTTCTGAGGGAGAAAGATGGGCAGTCTCCTCCTATGTATTCATAATCTCAGAAACTCAATGGAGGATCAGCAATGAGTCTGTTCTGACTCGGCATGATGAAGCTTTGCGTTTGTATACTTTATATAAATGAGAACAGATAATATTTACCTGTTTTGAATCTTATTTCATTCCCTTAGAATAATGTTTTCAAGGTTTTCATTGAAGTTTCAGTTCTTATTTTGTCATTGTTAGATGTCATCAACTACAACTTATGGCAACCTTGTGAATAACAGATCTGAAACTTTTCCTGTCTTGCGTCATCCTCATCGTTGCTATTATACTTCAGTCCATAATTATAGTCACTGTGCTAATTCATCCTGTTGAGGCCCTTGCTTTCTTTTTCTGACATTCTTTCCATCTTTCCAGCATGATGTCTTTTTCCAATGACTAGCCTCTCTTAACAACATGTCCACTGTACGTGAGACCAAGTTTCACTATTCTTGTCTCTAAGGAGCATCCTGGTTACAATTCCTCTAAGACAGATTTGTTTGTTTGTTTGTTTTGCATTTCATGAGATATTTAGTGTTCTTCTCTAAACACCACAATTCAAAGGCATCAATTCTTCTGTCATTCTTTTTTTTTTATTTTATATTGACTTAATTACAAGGTTTGAATACATTGTTTTTCACACAAGATCTTTCCCATTTCCTTCAACCCCACACACATCAAATTGTGTGACCCTATGATTAACACCCCTTTCCCCACCCATCTTTATCCCTCTGCTTCCACCTCTCTCCCCTTGGATCCTTATACTCATTCTACAATAATAGTTTTATACAATATTTGTCTTTATGACACTGAGTTCACTCAACAAAGCGCTCTCAAGTCCCTCCCAAGTTAGGTAGGAATTTACAAAATCATTGCTTTTATCTCTCCCCTTGGATCCTTATACTCATTCTACAATAATGGTTTTATACAATATTTGTCTTTATGACACTGAGTTCACTCAATAAAGTGCTCTCAAGTCCCTCCCAAGTTAGGTAGGAATTTACAAAATCATTGCTTTTACATGTTGCATAATATTTCACTGTGTGAATATACCACAACTTCTCAATCTATTCCTTTGTGATTGGACATCTGGGCTGTTTCCATGTTCTCGTGATGGTGAGTAACGCTACAATGAACATTATTGTACAAATCTCCATTTCAGCCTCAGTCTCATTTTCTCAGAGTATATTCCAAGCAATGGAATAGCTTGGGTCATTGTCATCCTTATTTACCGTCCAACTTCCAGGTGGATAAGAAGTAATTGAAAAGGATATGGAGCACCATAGTCTTTAAATTGTCATCCTTACTCTTTCTCACTAGAAGTCCCTGACCACAGATTTTTGTTTTCTGTTTATAGCTGAGTAATGTTCCATGGTACCTATGGACTACATTCTATTCATCCATTCATGTCAATCATGCTATATTCACACTTTCCAAGTTTGTGGTGGGTCCTGAAACAAACGGTTGAGGCCCAGCTATCAGGGCTCTAGGTCAGGCTCTCACATAGTATTAGACCTATTTTACAAAGACCTAAGCTGACTGCCCTCGCTCATGATAGTAAGGATCGACAATTGGACACATCCTGCATGCTAGACACGCTGCTTAACCCTTCCTATTCTGTTGTCTCGTTCCATCTCCACAGCAATCTATCCATTAGCCACTGTTACTTTGGTCTCCATTTTAAACAAGAGACAAATGAACAGAGAAATGAAGCCATTTCCCCCACATAGTTACTAAGTCTGCTATTAATCCTTGCCATCTGCTTTTTAAACAAGCTGTTCCTAACTATTCTTTTATCTGTTTAAAATTCATTGACTTTTTAATCTGTTTCCAATTCATTGCATATGCAGAGATTCAGGAACATGAGAGGTCTAGGGAGAGGAAAATTTCTTGTTTGCTGACCACCCCCTCACATGAAATGATTTCCAAGAATAATTCCAATTTGTCTTTTCTCTCTAACAGTTTTCTTTATTTAGAAACAAAGTAATGGATTTTAATTATATCCACATTAATCTATGTCTAATTTGCTCTTATATATCCACCCTAAGTGAGTAAGAGCTCCAGTGGCCTAGTGGTATGGTAAGAAGCTGCACTGCAGTTCCAAAGGCACATGGTTTGAATCTTCCAGATGCTCCACAAGAGAAAGGTGAGTAATCTCCTCTTGTGTGATTTACTGTCTCTGAAAATCCCCTGGAGGTTCAGTTATGAGTAGGTTCTGCCTTAATGGCACACAACAACAAAAACAATTGACAAAAGTCCTTCCATAGGATGTTAATGGTGCTTTCAACATAGATACTATAATCCCTTTAGAGGAAATGAGACTGGTCAAGAAGTCTACAAAGCTTCATGAAGTAGATGTTTATCTAAAAGTATATATCCATGGGAATGTAAAATGGTGTTCCCACTGTGGAAAACATTTTGGTGTTTTCTTAGAAAGTTAAGAATAGACGTAATTATTTGAGGCAGCAATCTCACAACTTGGTATACATCCTTAACTAATAAGAGCTGCAGCACAAACTAACATACACTCACACACCCATATTTGTTGCAGCGTCATTTCTAATAGCTAAGAACTGGAAGCAACCCATGTTAACTCCATCGTTTCCCCAGCTTTTTAATCTTAGAGGTATAATAGAGGTGGAAAAGAAGTGAGAAAGGAGTAAAAACTAATAAATAGACAAGTTGAGTGAAGGGAAAGGCAATATGCAATAAAAGGTTGATTAGACCTTGTAATTAATTTTATTAATCAGTGGACATTAGTCCTATAAAGGAAAATGTCTATACATGATTGTATGAAAAAGCAATATGATTTGAAAATATTCACTCAGATAAAAATTTTATATATATTTGTATATATATTAATTAGCACATTTTCTTTATTCTGTGTTCTCTTCTTCCCCCACCCCCAGTCAATCCTCTACTAAGTATATACTTACTACACCAAGATATATTGAAATTTCGGTTGAGATCCGTCCCAAAGCATGTGCCATTGTTATGGGATGACCGGGATTTCCTCCAGTTACGATTCTGTAACAGAGCAGCACAGGGATGTTGCCAGTCTATATTATCCTAAATAGAGTGCTGGGGAGGAAAGAGTCCTTGACCATGAAAAATATCTTTTCTAAGATTGTCTTGTTGATTTGGAAGAACTTGCCTTCAATATTGTTAAGCTTGTATGTATAAATTCTAGTTTTGCAGATAGGCTTGATCTTGTTATGTACCATCCAGTCAGAATGGACTCATAGCTGACCATCTTGAATATTGCAAAAGAGGAGATTTCCTATCTTTCTCCTGGACTCAAACTGTGTGCCTTTGGGCTGATAGTGCAATTCCTTATCACTAAGTCTCCAGAACTTTCAGGCTAGCAGCCCCTAATAATAACAAGAATATCTGCTAGAGATAAAAAGTGTACCTCCACATGCACTGTCATCCTGGAGGGAGCAGGTCAGCCTTTTCTTCTCAGGTGCATTAGCAGTGCTGTGTATATGTTATACCTGATCAGGGAAAGAAAGCTTCAGAGAGCCATTTTTTAGGTCCAATTTGTAAAGGATGAAAGGGAAATAGCTTGGCAGATGGGAGAAAGCTGTTCCAAGTGTATCAGAGATGGTCGCTGCACATTTCTGGAAGCAGAAGACTGATGAGTGGAAATGAGGATAAAGACAAGGTTCACTTGACAAGCACAGAGCAAGGAGGCACAGGACTCAAACAGCAGGCCAGTGAGGTTCTTCCACGGAAGAGCATCTCATCAGGGGCTTCTGGAGAGTGGTGGAAAGTGGGACAGAAGTAACGCTTTCTAGGAAGTGGGGAGTCTTACTTAGGAAATGATACGCTTTAGAAATTATTGTTTAAGAGAACTGTGTCTAGTAAGTGAAAAGATACGAGATGATATCCTTCATGTGAATAATCACAGTTTTAATAATGAAGGCTGATTTGGTGTCTGTGCATCATTTATTTGTCCTCATGCTTCTAGAACTTATATTGTTGTTGCTGTGTACCGTTGAGTCATGTCTGACTCACAGCTGGCCCTTCAGCAGGTTTTCGGGGCAGGGAATTGCACAGGAGTTGATTGCCCATATTTCCCCTATGGAACAGCTGGTGGATTTAAACTGTGTGCCTTTGAGTTGACAGTGCAATTCCTTATCACTAGGCTACCAGAACTTATACTGGGTGACTACAAAGTGGTATATGAATTTTATACCAATATACTCCTGATAGAGTGGCAGGCAATTAGCAAAATTAGGAGGATAGAGAATAGAAACATTCACATCTACTTGGAGAACTAGGAATCTAATTTTTCAAAAATATGCTGGACTTCATAGGGTTTTCAGAGGCCTGTTATTTCAGAAGTGGAAATCCTTCTTCCTAGTCTGTCTTAATCTGAATGTTCAAGTGTAGAGAAGTATCAGACAGACCAGCATTTTACAGAAAGTGAAAGATATATCCGTTATTGTGAAGTTAACCATTAGTATCAGTGTTGTCCCTGCCTTTGACACACGTGTCTTTACCCACTTATTTCCCTACTCCACCATCCACCAGGATCCTCATCCACTTCTACCCATTCCCTTCAACATCTATCTCCCATTGTCCAGCCCTTGGTTACCATGGACTGCTAGGAAAACAAAACAGATTCATCCTGAAGAGGATTAAACCGGGCAGCTCCTTGGAGGCAAGGATTCTGAGGCTTTGTCTAACATACTTTGGAAATGTTGTAAGAAGGGACAGGTCCTTGGAGAGGGACATCATGCTTGGGAAGGTGAAGGGACGGCACAGGAGGGGAAGGTCCTCTATGAGGTGGATTGATTCAGTGACTGGGATAATCGGGATGGGTGTGTCAGAGACAGTGCGACTGGCAGAGGACAGAGCAGAGTTTAGGGCTGTTGTACATAGGGTCGCTATGTGTTGCAAACGATTCGACGGCACATAACAACAACAACATGCTGGACTTCAGCTTAACAACCCGAGTTAACTCAATTCACTGCTGTGAAGAATTGGCTAATAGCTGGCCATCCAGCAGGTTTTCAGAGACAGTAAATCATACAGGAGGAGATTTCCCATCTTTCTTCTATGGAGCAGCTGTCGGATTCCAGGTACCTGCCTTTGTGCTAACAGCCCAACTCCTTCCCCACTGGCAAGGGTACTAGAGCTCGCTTCATCTCTAAAGAGACTGTAAATAAACAGCTGCCTTGGAGTTGATTCCAATTCTTGGAGATCCACGTATGTCAGAATAGAACTGTGAGCCATGGAGTTTCAATACCTAATTTTTCAGAATGAGATCTCCAGGTCTTTATCCCATGGTGCCAGAGGATAACCTCCAGCCCCCAGCCTTTTGATTAGCAGCTAATAAACTAATCATTTGTTCCACCCAAGGACTTTTCAAGAGCTCTTACCATTGCCATCAATTACACTCTGATTTATGGTGACCTATTCAACCTAAACTTTACCTGGATTGTTGGCTAATAAGAAAAACAGTAAGTTGATTTTTATTCATAATGGGATTTATCACTTTACAAACCCGCGGATATTTAATAGGGACTTTACCCCACCACCCACCTCAGCATACTCACAGTGGTCCAAGTGTAGATATAACCGTCTATGTTAAGAACTGGAAGCACATAGAAGTCCAGGTTCCTAAGAAATCTGCTTATTCTTGGGTTTTCTCGGTAGTTCTGTAGAATCTGGAAATTTCAGAGATAAATATCTGGAATGACCTTGGGAAGTCTTTTCTCCATTTTCCAACAATTTCAGTTTAATTACTAGAAACAACAGTGTTCAATCCCCAAACTCTAGTCCTACTTTGTAGTGGCTGTCGTGTCCCAATGATCTGATTCCAACTTGTATCTGCCCTGTACCGCAGAATAGAATTGCCTCATGAGGTTCTCGAGGCTGTAATCTTTGCAGATAATTGATTCAATAATTTCCACTTTCTTTTGGATCATCTGTTTTTTTTTTTTAATGGGAATAAATTAAGATCTCTTCCTGTCGTTTGGACAGGTAGGTAGCTGTCTTATTAATGTCTTGCCATAAGCAGCTTAGACTATCCAGGGCTGGATCTGCTTATTGAAATAATTCAATTGCTCTTCTATCAATCCCCAGGCCTTAGTTTTTGCCAATGCCATCAATGCAGCTTCAGTTTATTTTCATGACTCTTGGTTCTGTATCATACCTCACTTCTTAAAAGAGTTCAACGTCAGCCAGTTCTTTTGGCACAGTGATTCTGTGTATTCTTTCCATTTTCCTTTGATGCTTCTTGCATCATTCAACATTTTGTCCATCAACTCCTTCAGTATTGCAACCTGAGGGTTGAATTTGTTCTTCTGTTATTTCAGTTTTGAGAATGAAGAATGTCTTTCCCTTTTGGTTTTCTGTTTCAATTCTTTGCATATTTCATAATATATTGCTTTGTCTTCTCAAATAGTTCTTCAGAATCGCCTGTTAATTTCTTTTAGATCAGCATTTTTTCCTTTGTTTCAGTCTATGTTCTAGTGAAAGTTTATATTAACTTAAGCAATTAGACTTGGAACCATACATTAAGAACTACTCTCTGTGGATTTCTTTGTGTCTGAGTTTCTAGAGACTGGGGGTGGGGGGGAAAGTGTGTGTGTGTGCATATGGATATACACATAGACGTAGATATCTATCTACATATACTTTGGACATGCTTAAAGGAGAGACCAGTCTTTGGAAAGGGACATCATGCTTGAGAAGATGGAGGGACAGCACAGGAGGGAAAGATGAGATGGATTGATTCAGTGACTGATGCAAGGATGCATCCTGTCACCATACATTGTCAATCTTATGCAGAACAGATCATTTGGGAAGCAGAGCTTTATGAGGAGAAGTGCGGCATCAAGATTGGAGGAAAACTCATTAACAACCTAAAATATGCAGATGACACAACCTTGCTTGCTAAAACTGAAGTGGACCTGACACACTTGCTGCAAAAAGCCAAGGACTGTGGTCTTCAATAGGGATTGAAGCTCAACATCAAGAAGACAAAGATTTTAACCATGGGGCCAATTGGCAGCATCATAATAGATGGAGAAGAGATTGAGGTTTTAGTAATTACAGCTTGGCTCAGATCCACCATCAACTCTTAACACCAGCAGTCAGGAAATCAAAAGATGAATTGCATTGGGAAAACCTGCTATTGTGGACCTCTTCAGAATGCTGACGAGTAACTATGTCAGTCTAGATACAAAGGTGCACCTACTCCAGGCCGTGGTCTTCTCAATTACTTGTTATACTTCAGAGAGTTGAACAATGACTAAGGATGACAGAAGAATAGATGCCTTTGAGTTGTGGTGCTGGAGAAGAGTCTTGAACATACCATGGACTGACAAGAAAACAAGTTGGTCTGTCTTGGAGAGGGTGAAACCAGGTCTCTCCTTAGAGGTTAGCGATTTGTAGCTCATCCTCACTTACTTTGGGCATGTGGCCCAGAGAGATTGGTCCTTGAAGGACATCATTCTCAGAAGAGTGGACGGATAGCACAAGAAAGGAAGACCCTGGATGAGATGGGTTGATACAGTAACTGGGGCAATGGTGGTTGGTGTGTCAGAATTAGTGAGACTCACTCAGGACAGCACAGGGTACTGGGGTGCTGTACACAGGGTCACTGTGCATCGCAGGAGACTCAACGGCACATAACAACAATAACATACTCTGACAGGTTTGGAAGCAGGAGTGGCATCCGCTTCCTAAACAACATGCCTCTGGAAACTCTATGAACTTTGATAAATATCAACAGTTGTAGAGGGGCTTCAGGCCTTTGTTCATAGGGTCGCTATGAGTTGTGCTTGACTCGAAGGCAATCAACAACAACAACATAGAGGAGAGAGGAGAAAGGAGGGGGGAGGAGAGAGAGGGAAAGGGGAAGAAGGGGAGAAGGGAAAAGGGGAGAAGGGACGAGAGGGAGAGGGGGAAGAGGGACAGAGGAGGAAAGGGGGATGGGGAGAGGGGGAGAGAGGGGGAAAGGGAGAGAATGGAGAGAAAAAAGAGAGAGAGAGGGGTGGGGGAGAGAGTTGTTGTTGTTACATGCTGTCAAGTCAGAACCAACTTATATCTGACCCTCCAGCAGATTTTCAGAAGCAGTAAATCACATGAGAGGAAATTCTGTCTTTTTCCAGCTATGGGAGTAGCTGGTGTTTGGAACTGTGTGCCTTTGGGTTAGCAAATATATAAATGTTTATTCATTTGGCAGTCCATGAAATGTCAGCACTCTGCTCCATCAGCCCAGCACCAAGGTACCAACTCTTCTTCTGTCATCCTTATTCACTGTCCAGCTCCCAGCAGCACAGCAAGTCACTGAAAAGACCATGGTGTGAGTTAGGAACACTTAGTTCTCAAATTAACATCATTGCTCCTCAATAATTTGGAGCAGTCCCTAATAGCAGACATTTCCAATGCAATATCTCCTGATCAAATGTATTGATTGTGGGTCCAAGTAAGATGAAGTCACTGATAAATTCAATCTTTTGAATCTTGTTGTTGATATGCAATCCATATTTCAAGTCTTTGATCTTCTGCAGCAAGCGCTTCGAGTCCTCCTTACTTTCAGCAAGCAAGGTTGTGTCATCTGCATAATGCAGGCTGTTGGTGAGTCTTCTTCTAATCTTGATGCTACATTTTTCTTCTTACAATCTAGCTTCTCAAGTAATTTTCTAGCATATAAATCAAATAGAAATGAAGAAATTATATATCCCTAACACATATCTTTCTTAATTTATGTAAATTATGTATTAAGAAATTAATTTGAAGGGTGGGGTGAGGGAAATGGGAAGGATCTGGTTTGACAAGCAATGTACTCAAATTTTGTAAAAAAACTTGTGTAAAAACATAAAATAGAATGTACGTGAATGATTGTATGAGATACAATGTAAATGAAAGATTGTATAAAACACAATGTATATGAATGAAACATACTGTAAATGTATTATTATATGAAAATCAATAAAAAATATTTTTAAAAGAAAAATTATTATTTAATCCATATAATTATGCCCTTACTCTGTTTAGGTGCACTGTTGTTGTTGTTGTTGTTGGGTGCTGTTGAGTCAAAGGACGGAAAATCACAGTGAAGCTGCTCACTGTTTTCTTGCTATTTGGGAGCAAAGGGAAGTTGAGCAAAAGTTACATTGCTGATTGGAAAGAAGTCTTTTATGTAGCCAAGAAGTAGCAGAATTTGGGGAGCCGGTTATCATTGTAAGCAAATGAAAAATACTTACTTCTTTTACAAACCATTGACAAAAAGCTGGGGCAATCCACTCCCTGGCATGAATGCCACAGTCCATCCACACCATCTTTTTGGAATTGTTTGAGGATTGGCTAATCTAGAAAGACAGAGCGGCTCTATTACCAAATAATCACTTATTATTTGAAACCACAGAGTCCAATGTCCAAATAAAAAAGGTTTTTATTCCTTTACCAGTACCAGTTGTCATGCAGTCTATAAGGACTTCTGGTGAGCCCATGTGCTATCAAGTTAGTGTTCTGCAAGCAAATCACAAGACCTTTCTTTGTAGGCACCAAAGGGAAATCTAGTGGTACAGCCTACAGAGTAACTCAAAGCCCACACATCTCTGGTGGTTTGAATCCACTGAGAACACCACAGTCAGAAGATTAGCAATCCTCTTCTGTGCAATTTGCAGTCTTAGATACCCAAGGCAGGGTCAACTATGATTTGGTTCCAATTCAACAGCAATCAGTGAATAAACAATGAATAGGTACATATGGCCAATCTCTCAACAAGTAGTGGAACACTTAATAGTTTATGTCCCCCAGGGATTTCTTGTTCCCCCCCTCACCCCCTTTGACTGTGTGGTAACCACAGGAGGTAAGGATGCTGCTTGAAACATCCACTAATATGGCCCTTTGTTTTGCGTGCTTTCCTGCCACAGTCACCTCAGTTCCGTTTAGATGTGTGCTGGCTACTTATGCCACTCACCTAAAGCCTGGTTGGGTTTTTTTTGTTTTTTTTTTTGTTTGTTTGTTTTAAAACCCCAAATTGTTACTGCTATTGTGTACTATCAAGTTGGAACTGACCCATAGTTGACCCTCCAGTGGCAGTAAGTAACATAGGAAGAGATTACCCTTCTCTCCCATGGAGCAGGTGGTGGATTCAAATCATATACTTTTTAAGCTGACAGCACAATTCCTTACCACTAATCCACCAGAGCCACCCAAGCCTTAAATGATCCCCAAATTATAAATAAAATTATAAACTCTTAAACTACAACTAAGAGAAGAAGTCTGCGTCTATCTCATCCCACAGATTTCCCAGAGTCTGGCTAAATTTCTAAGAGGTAACACTCTTACAGATTCAAAGATTCAAAGCTAGTTAAAAAGGAATCTCAGTCATTAATTACTTTGTAACTGTGAAGAGACATAAATATATAATATCCTGCAACTCTTAAATTCTCTTTCCCCTTAGAGATTCCTCCTCTACTGGCCAAATTAATCTTCCTTCTGCTCTCTCCATTTGTTGTCAGTATACCCATCAGTTCAGGCCCACTCCACAACCCCCCTCCCTTTTTCAAAGGATTAGACAGGCAGGAATGAATCTGGAAATTATGGCGTCTCTTTGAGAGAGAGATAGACTGTGAACACTGCCATAGTTGTTATGGGAACATCTGTTTTGAATTCATACATGTATTTGTCCAGTGCTATTTGTTGAAAGACATTGAAAACTGTCTAATGAAGATTCTCTTTAGCTGTGAAACTCACAAATTGATAAATTCCAAACAGATTCCATCATATCCAGAGGAACTTCTCTTTCCAGCTTCACCCATTTTCAAAGCTGCCAGCATAATCACCCATCCGTTTTCTCTTATATTTACTCATTTATGACTATGTGTATATTAACTTTCTGATTCTCTTTATTGCCTCTTTATTGTATACTCAGTTTAATTTTTTTTTTATTACATGCCCCAGATATAGAGGATGTTCAGATGTCTTTGGCTTAATCAGCTCTGAGTTTGATAGTTGTTTTACAAAATGAGGTAGACAGGTGTTCCTTGCTCAACATATCAGTTAGAACCAACAGATATGCTTGTAATTGTAGATAACACTGGATATAGGGGGTGTGTCTTAAAATTTGGCTTGCCTATATAAGTAGCGAAAGAGGGCAGTCAACTAAGAAATTCTGCTTCTTAATCGCAAAGCACTTTGGCCTTGGTTCTGAGTGAGAGTCTTGGACTATAAAATTCAGAATCACCTGGAAATTGCCAGAATTTTACTGTGGCTCTGCCACTTGAATGTGCATCAAAATCTCATAGGAAAGGGTATGCTTAGACAGATTACAGACATTCCCTTCCAGAGTTTCTGATTCATTTGATCTGGGTGGGACTTGAGAATGTACATTTCTAACAATTACCCAAATGGTGCTGATATTGCTGGTTCAGGGACCAATCCTTGTGAGCTATTAATTTGATGCTGTGCTTGGAAAATCTGGCTACACATTAGGGTCACCTGAAGAGCTATCATATTGTCAATTGAGTCTCAACCCACATCAACTAAATTGGAGTTTCTAGGGGACAGAGTGGGGACAATCATCAGTATTTCTTGGCAGTTTCCCAAAAGATTTTCCTCAGATAGCCAGGACTGGAAATTCTTGCTTCAGAACTCGTGGCCCAGAAGTCCTGGCTCTATAGAAAACTGGGTATTTGGACCTGAACCTTTTTCAACACGTCACCAATAAAAGAGGTAGGGATTCCAAGAGACCTGGTTAATGCCCTGTTCTGCTACTGACTAGCTATGTGACATTGCACTTCTTTGAGTCTTTAGAATGAAGGAAATATTTAGTCTGTGGTTTTCAAACATTTTATGGAAATTTTGTTTTGAATACAGCAGTTCATAAAACATTCAAAATGTGAAGAATTACCAGACACTTGTTGAAAATCAGAGAGAATTTCCTCTTGCTTACTACACCCCTGAAGGAGAAACAGGCCTTCACAGAGCATACACAGAAAATCAACTGCTATACTACCTACATACCTGCCTGGCTAACCATTTTAAGTCCCTTAGGCTTGGTGGGGACAAGAGAGGGAGAGGATGAGGAAGAAATGAGTTCTACCACCTACTGTTTTTAAGTTCTAGTTTAAATATATCACCCATCTATCTTAAATGTACTCTACCCACACTTGATTGCACCCAGATAATTAAGCATAAAGCAAGATTGCATTTCTAATTCTAAAATTTAGAGTAGAAAGGCAAAAGCTTTTGCTAGCACCCCTCTTAACCTTTTCCCAAATTCTTACTAGTACTCTCTCTGAGTCGAATTATGTCTCCCAAACAGATGTGTTGAAATTCCAAGTGTCTGTGGATGTAAACTCGTTTGGAAATAAGGTCTTTGGAGATGTTATCAGTTAAGATAACATGAGGGCACACTGAAGCAGATGGCTCCAAATCCAATGTAAGTAATGTTTTTATAAAAGAGAAGAAACACTATGAAGTATTTGTCCTTTTGTGACTGAGATATTCCACTCTGCATAATGTCCTCCAGGGTCACCCATTTTGAATAATATTGCATGAGTTCCTTGTTTTTCAATGCAGCATAGTATTTCATTGTGTGAATATACCACAGCTTCTCTATCCATTTGTTTGTTGATGGGCACTTGGGTTGTTTCTAACTCTTTGCTATTGTGAACAGTTAAGAGGGGATAAATAATGTATACTGCATTGAAACAGATGAGGGCGAGAACTGTTTAGGAGGAATATATGATTACGTATTATTGTCATGACAAGAGTCCAGAATGAAAGCTGCACAGTGGCGTGGACTGGGGAATGGGGAATTGTATAACAATGAAAGAATTTTTTTTTTTTACTTTTCAAAGAGAAAAGCGAACTGGGAGGGTGGTGGGGAGCAGTTGGCAGGGAGGAAAGTGTGCAACTATGAATGAATGGTAATCCAAAGTCTCTGTAAACTTTCATTAAAATAAATTAAAAAAAAAAAAAAAGAGACACTGAGAAGAAAGAGTACCAAGTTAGCATGGGCAGAAAGATTATAGTTTGACACAACAATCTGGGGCTTTCAGAAACTGGGAAACACAGAAAAAGATCCCCTCCTAGGGCTTTCCGAATGAACATGGCCCTGCTGACCACTGACTTTGAACTTCTAGCCTTCAGAACCGTGAGACAATATGCTACTTGAAGCCATCCACTTTGTGATAGTTCATCAAGGTAACCATAAGGCCACCCCAGACAGCAAACCAATAGCCTTGGGTTAGGACAGAAAGACCCACCAAGTCAGGTGGCCTTATTACTCACCTTCAAATAATTCATGGACTGATTCTCATATGTCATTCCTAGGAAATGCTGTGTCACCACATCTTTGTACTTCTCACTTATCTGGTTCATCCACTGATAAATCTGAAATAGCCAAGGAGGACTTTGTGTATCAATAAAACCATAAAATATTAAGCTCTGTACTCTGGGATAATTAGAACATCTATGTGGTCTACAAACTAGAAAACTCTAACAATGACTTATTACTTATTATACTCCTTCTTTTCCTTGCAACTCCGGTGGCATAATCCATAGGGAATTGTGCAGCTAACCCAAAGGCCCTGCTTGAATCCACCAGCAGCTCTTCTGGAGAGAGATGGGCAATTTCCTGCTGTGCATTTGGTGGTGGTGGTGGTCATGTACACAGTTGAAATGAAATCAATCCATAGCTGACCCTCCAGCAGTTTTCAGAGGTAGAGGCAGTACATTTGCTCCTACGGAGCACCTGGTGAATTCCAACTGTGTACCTTTGCTTTGGCAGCACAGTCCCTTACCACTAAGCCAGCAGAGCTCTTAAGACCTCCTTGAGAGTCAGTTGTGGCTTGATTCTAACTCAATAAGCAATATGTCATTTCACTGAAGACTCTACTCTGCCACCAAATCAGAGAATATCCTGTCAAACACTATATAAATCACGAACTCCCAGTTCCATTCCACTGAAAATATTTTTGCAACATTGGTCAATGACCCACCCTTCAAAATGACCACTAATCTTTGCTTCTTTAAGCCACACATTTATACTAGAAATTTCAGGTCTGTCTTGATTTGCATATGTGAGCTAATTTATTATAGTATCGATCTTTTAAAAATCACCAAATGTAATAACAACACAAGGGCTGTGGTGTCAAAACGGCTGATAGAAATGGCTTCTGGGCCTATCCTGCTTGATCCTAAGAGTCTGAGCAAGATGCAGTCCTGCACATGCCCACCAGTCTCTACCAGGAAATTTGAAGGACAGCTGATTGGCTGATTGAAAGAGACACACATTTGTTCCCATTTTGAAGAACGGGGACCCAATAGGAAGTGGAAATTATCAAACAATATTATTAATATCACATGCAAGTAAAATAATGCTGAAAGTAATCTAAAAGTGGTTAGAACAGTACACAGAGAACTGCCAGAAATTCAAGCTAGATTTAGAAGATTGTTGATGTCAGAAGGATCCTGCATGAAAGCAGAGAATATCAAAAGAATGTCTATTTGTGTTTTATTGACTATGCAAAGGCATTTGACTATATAACAGATTATGGCTAACATTGAGAAGAATGGGAATCCCAGCACATAATTGTACTCATGCAAAACCTATACCTAGGCACAGAGGTTGTTGAGTGAACACACTAAGGGGAAACTGCATGGCTTAAAATTAAGAAAGGTGTGTGTCAGGGTTATACCTTCTCTTTATACTAATCTGCATGCTGAGAAAATTCTTAGGACAAGCTGGACTTTGTGAAGCGCAATGTGGTGTCAGGATTGGAAGAAGATTCGACAGCCTTTGGTGTGCAGATGGCACAGTGTCTCTTGCTGAAAGTGGGGAAGACTTGAAGTGCTTGTTGCAGAAGGTCAATGCAGAAGCCTTCAATACAGATTACACCTCAATACCAAGAAACTAAAAATTCTCACCTCTGGACTGGTAGGCAACATCATCATAGATGGAGACAACATTCAAGTTGTCAATGACTTCATCTTTCTTAGATCCCCAGTCAACACCCTTTGTACTAGCAGCCAGTCAGAAGATAAGGAGCTGTACTGGAAAAGCCTGCAGTCTGAGATATCTTCAACTGATGAAGGAACAGTGATGTTAGTTTGAGGACTGAGATGTCCTTCGTTCAGGTCATGGTCTTTTTCATCACTTGCTATGCATCTCAGAGTTGGATAAGAAATAAGGATGACAAAGAATTGATGCAATTGAGCTGTGGTGTTGAAGAAGACTACTGAATATCCATGGACTGCCAAAAATCCCAAACAGATGTGCCCTGGAGAAAATGCATGCAGAGTTCTCCTTGGAGGCAAAGGTGATAAGGTTTTGTCTCACATACTTTCAGCATGTTGCTAAGAAAGAGTATTCCTTAGAAAGGGACGTCACTTGGGAAGATGGAGGGTCTGCAAAAGAGGAACATTCTCAACCAGCTGGATTGGCACAGTGACTGAAGTGATCAATTTAAGTGTGTCAGGTTTGATGAGGATGACACAGAATAGAACAGGGCTCAGATCTGTTGTTCATAGGATTGTGATGAGTTGTACTTGACTCAGTGACACCTAACAACAACCAATAGCAACACAATATTTCTTTAAAAACATAATTATCTCCTTTTCTGAATTGCTGTCTGTGTTCCTTGCATCCTATGAAGAAATACTTTATTTTCAGCTACATATGATTCATTCGGAAAGCTTCTCCATCCAACACTCTACACCCGTATCCACCCTGACCCTACCCTGCTTAAACCTTTCAGGAAGTTGGTAAACAAGAGTAGAGATTCATTCTGACCATGATCAAGCCAGACAAACTAGCTTATTGGGAAGTCCTTTACTTCTTTTGTTATTTATTTGCTTTTGCTTTGTTTTGTATCACCAAGTTCTGCTGCTTTAGTAATAACAGAGGTGTATAGGGATGTTTGGACAAACTCAGAGAGCACTGGCCAATCTCAACTCCCAATTTTGAGCTTATTTTCAATCACTTGCTATGCTGCTGAGAGCTGGGCAATGAATAAAATGACAGAAGGGGATTTGATGCCTTTGAGCTCTGGTGTTGGATAAAAGTACTGAATATCCATGGATTGCAAAAAGAACAAATGTTTGTGTCTTGGAAAAGGTACAGCCAGAATACTCTTTGAAGGCAAAAGTAGCAAAGCTTTGTCTCACATACTCTGGGCACGCTGCCAGGAGAGGCTATTCTTTTGAAGGAGACATCATGTTCGGAAAGATGGAGGGTGAGCAAAGGAAGGAAAATCCTCAACCAGATGGATTGACATGATAACTGCATCAGTGGGCTCAGTTATGTCAGGAATTATGAGGTGGCCGTCAGTCTGTCCCAACCCATCTATAGTCTGTTATGAACGTCTAAAAAGCCTCAGTTTCTTTCTCTTGCTTTCACTTGATATTGGTGTCTTTCTTGTATTTACGAGTCAGAACTTCTAGTTCTTACTCGAAGAGGCCCCTAGACTTCTGTTGGAAATCATCCCCTTGACATTTCACAGGCTCGTCTGGATAGAATTTCCAAGTACTCTGGACCACTGAGGATTCTTCTACTGGCTGCAACAGTTCCATATTAAAATGATGCACTTCTCAGGATATGAACCTGTATTCCTAAGTACAATTGATATCAGTGCATCTAAATTCCAAAAATCAATCACGTGTCTACATGTTTCCTATTGCCAAAGGGGCCCTTTAGTGTAGTGAGAGAAGATCTTCACCCCGGAACCTACAATACCCTTTTCCAGCAGGAAGTAATTAAGAGAATGCGAGGAGCCCTCTCCAATGAATTAGGGTGAAATCTTTCTCAGGGGGGAGTGACAGGGAATGGCAAAGGACATGCTGACAAAGGAGATCAATCAGAAAAGACTGTGGCAATATAACAATAGAAACTGACCCTCAAGGAATGTGTCAAAACAACAGACTCAAGGACAAGATAAAGGAAATGACCAAAAGTTACCATATGTCCTTAGAAGAAATACACTACTCAGCTGTATAAACCCCACCCCCCAAACAAAGGATATATAAACCCTTTTGTAAGATAAAAATGGGGTCAGTCTGTCCTGACCCGTTCATAGTCTGTTACGAATGTCAAATAAACATCAGTTTCTTTCTCTTGGAAAAAAAAAGTAAGAAAGAAAAAAAATTATGAGTTAGTGTAGGACAGGGTTCAGCTCTTTTCTTCATAGGGTCACTATGTGTCTGTCATATTCAATTTGACTACAACAGTCTGTGGGCATTAACCATTCTTTCCCACCCTCAAGTAGATTGTGACACCCTCCTATGCTCACCTCCTCCATGGGGTGGTATTTGTCATAGCGATAGGTCTCCAGGTTCTTCCAGGAACTTGATGTCTTCTCCACAGCCTCTCGTTTATGCTCAGATAGGAACCTGCAAAGGGAACAATGTAAGAAGAGAAGTAAAGAAGTCAGATATACTGAAGGATTCAAAGTTGGCAGGTTGGTGAGAAAGGAAGTAGAAACATACACAGGAGCTGAAGTGTAGGGCAAAGATCACTTTGAAGTCTTGGCTCTTTCATGTACTAATATATTTTCAGACCTTAGGCAAACCACTTAGGCATGTTTAGCTGTGGTTTCATCTGTAAACCGAAGACAACAATTCCAAATTCACAGGGAAGCCAGGATAATTCAGTAACACACTGTTGATAATAATGCTTTAAAATTTGAAAAAAGAATAGATAAGTTTTTAAAAGCTGGAACTTACTATGAGCCAAGCCCTGTTCTAAGTCTCATTTACATACAAGCTGTGCTGGGAACTGGAGGTCAGCAGTTCATATTCACCAACAGCTTTTCAGCAGAAGAGCTTTACCACCTGATACAGGATCCTATGCATGGAAACCGACGCTCTCTCATTATTGAATTAGTGTTATGGAAACATCCTTACTATTCCCATTTCAAAGATGAAGAAACTGAGTCTCCGTAAAAATGCTATAGCAACTTAAACTCTAGCAGGATCACTTTGAGTTCCGATCGACTCAACAGCAGTGGGTAAATGGGTAGTCTGACTGAAAAGGAGCCCTGATGGTTAAGCACTTGACTACTACCTGAAGGGTTGGTAGTTTGAGACCACCAACCTGCTGGATCTGTGGTAGAAAGATCTAGTTACCTGCCCCAGTAATTATTACAGTGTAGGAAAGATAAGGTAACTTTTCGTTTAAATTTACTTTATCATTATTTGGACCTAACAACAATCTGAAGATTCTTCCGTTTTAACCACTGTAGTGCATATGTTTGGGAAGATGTTCTATCACTGCTAGTGGCTGTGAAAACATTGCCTCAGTCCTCACCAGCAATCCTAATATGAAGACTCTGGAAACTGGGCACACCAAAACACAAGATGAAGGCGTGAAGCTGCTGTGTGAAGCTCTAGCCAGTCCCAGGTGTCACTTAGAGACTATCAAGTGGGATCCTTGGGGACAGGGTGGAGCCGCTGTGAGGCACTCAAGGTGGAAGAAAAATAGTCCTACATGGAGATCTGAACATGCTGTCCATGCGTCACATCAGCCCGCTCTCCAGATAGTCATGGAAGGCTGGACATCGTCCAAAAACCAAGACAAAGCTAATTGCCTTGTTGTTAATTCTGGTGTTTCTCCCACAGCTCCTCTGGTGGGTCCAAATCACCAATCTTTTGGCTAATAGTTGTGCACTTGACTGTTGGTACCACCTGGGCATTCCTGGTAGCATAATAAACCACTCCAGAAAATTTACCCTTTGTTGTCAAGTCATCTAAGTGCCACCCTGTGAAGAGTGAAAAGCTCCAAGCCTAATCTTCAAGAAGGAGCCCCAGTGGTATAGTGGCTTAAACATCAAGCTGCTAACCAAAAGGTCTGCAGTTCAGCCATGGAGGAAGCCAAGGCGGTCCAATCCTGCTAGGATTTACAGTGCCTGAGGCCCACAGGTCGTTCTGCTTTGTCATACATGGTGGCAATGAGTCAGAATCAACTTTATGGCAGGCGGGTGTTTTTTTATCTTTATGGAAGTGAACTGCTACATCTTTCTCCCATGGAGTGGATGGATGTGCTTGAACTGTCGAGCTGTCAGTTAGCAGCCAAGGCCTTTAACCCCTGCACCATATTGCAGGCAACTCAATGGCACATAATAACAATAACATACTATGACAGGGTTGGAAGCAGGAGTGGCATCCACTTCCTAAACAATATGCCTCTGGAAACTCTATGAACTTTGATAAATGTTGATAGTTGTAGAGGGGCTTCAGGCCTTTTGTTCATAGGGTCACTCAGAGTCATGATTGACTCGAAGGCATCAACAAAAACAACAATGATTATTCAATGATTTATTGTCTTACAAATACTTTCATCAAAGCTAGATAGTACTTCTGCCATGGTGGATAATGGTCTAGGACTTCCAGAATGCATTCGCATATGTGTTGTATACCATTGAGTTGGAGCCGATCCATACCTTATCCTCTGGTGAGTTTTCGGAGATTGCCCATCCTTCTTTTGTGGAGAAGCTGGTGGCCTTGAACTCCGTGCCTTTGGAATTGCAGTGCAGCGTCTCAATGCTAGGCCACCAAATCTCCCGTACATTCACAGATAGTAAATAATTTTAGTCTCATTACAGTTCTGTGAAGGGTTATTATTCATGTTTTACAAAGGAGGAAACAAAGTTCCTGAGAAGCTAAGTTCCAAAAAGTCCTACAACCTGTACCAAACACAGTGCTCTGATCTCCAAGCCTCGTGAACATTTGATGCATGTTTAGCTCCTTAGCTCCAAGGCTTTCTTTAAACAAAAAATGGGGTTTATGTTTTCCTTGCAAAGCACAGTAGCAGAGAACTCATTTGCCCAAGAAATATTTAATAAGTAAGTACTAGGTGAATAACAAACACTGAGATATGAGCTTTTGGAGACACTGAAGTGCCAGTTTTGGCTGAATGACCTTGTATTGCAAGTCAACATGTTAGATAGAGATAATTAGCTAATGTTTCAAAGTTAGGAGTCATTGAAAGTTCTGTAACAATGACTTCAATGATTTATCAGTTTTCCCATTTTCCCCCTATGTGTTCGTGGTATGTTATTTGTTCCCCCCCTTTTTAAAACAATCAAATATATAACTTATTTTACATGATATCCCTTGTTCCAACACCGCTGTTGAGAAGATTATTCCTTTACTGAATTGTGGTTATACTTGTGTAGGACATTTCTGAGTTTTTGCTGTGTTCTCCTGGTCTAGCTCTATCCCTTTACAAATACTGCACAGTGTTGTTGGTTACTTCAAGCTCTGTGTTAATCTTGTTAAGTGCCATTGAGTTAGATCCAATCCACAGTGATCTATTTCACAAACTCTTGCTTGATCCTGTGCCATCATCCCCCCAATTGTTGCTACACTGGAGTCCACGTTGTAGCTGTGTCAATTCAACTTGTTGAGGGCCCTCCTCCCCAGCCCGGACGGACCCTTCCACCTCTCCGAGAACAATGACTCTCCACAGGGTTTTGTTCTTCCTAACCCCATGTTCAAAATGTGTGGACAAATCTTGCTATCTAGCCTTTCTTAAAGTCTTACTTTCCTTATTTGTAAAATAGAAAGAAGAATACATTCCTAGAAAATGTTTGTGAGGATTGCTAATCCACGTGAAACTCCAAGTGCAATGGCTGACACATAGTCAATGCTTAATAAATATTAAGGCACAATATTTCAAAACAAAACAAAGGAAAAACCCTATTGACTTGTGTTAAAATTGAAAAGAAATACTGTACAGAGAATAATGTAGCCATTCAACTAGTATTAGCTTCAAACACTGCCAAACTACAAAATGCTTTGAGGGAATTTGTTCAAGTCCCAGTTACTTTCACGGTATCTACATGACTTTAATAACCGACTGATTCAGTATAAATTTTTTTACCTGGTTCATTTAGCACCATGGACCACAATTAGCCACTCTAGTGGACATCAATTACTCTATAAAATGCTACTGCTTTATCACTTTCAGGTACATTTATTATTGTCAATCACTACTAATATTAATAATAACAATTTGAGTTTAACAGAAACTCTTTTCCTCAGAACTGTAAATGCTTTACTGCATTGTTGAATCAGCTTTGTGCTCCTCAGCTTGCCTAAGTGAAAGCTCGTGAGATGGGATTTTCTGAATGACGACCTGAACTTGTAAGGAGTGAGAAACAATATGCTTCTCCAGTGTTATTTGGGGATTCATTTCTAATATTGACCATTCATCGGACTTTTTTTAAAAAAGCAAGAGTACTTCAGATAAATAAATTTCAATATGAAAATATCTATTGGTGGAAATAATATATTGAGTCCGATTGCTTTACAAAAATATTATCATTTTGTAATGAAAATACATATTTCCCTCCCCCATTGTTGCTGTTGTGTAACTTCAAGTTGGAACTGTCCCATAGCTGACCCTCCAGAGGGTTTTCAAAGGCAATTGATCGCACAGGAGGAAATTGCCCATCTTTCTCCCTCGGAGCAGCTGGTGGATTTGAATCATGTGCCTTTGAGATTGCAGTGCAACTCTTTACCACCAGGCTATCAGAACTCACTAGTGTTTTTAAAATTAATAAAATTCAATCTACCTATAACTTTTTGGAAGTACTTTTCATGTATTTATCATCTAATCAGTAAATCGATCTATCTATCTATCTATCCACACACCTCAATCAATATATTTGTTGTTATGTACCATTGAGTTGGAGTCAACTGGTAGCTAACCCTCCAGTGGGTTTTCATATGCAGTAAACCACTTGGGAGGAGATTGCTCATCCATTGCTCTGGGAGTAGCTGGTGGACTTGGCCTTGCCTTTGGGTTGTTCCACTCCATACCACTGCCACTACATAAAGCACTGTTGTCATTTTATGTGCTGTCAAGTCAGAACTGTTCTGAAAAAAAGTGTAGTTCATAGCTGATCATTTTCAGAGGTTGTAAATAACATAAGAGGAGATTGTGCATCTTTTCCCCCCTGAGCAGTGGTGGCTTTGAACCACTTGGTTTTGGGTTGGCAATGCAACTCCCTAGCACTAGTCCACCAGAAGCCCATCTAAAGTAAATATTATTGTTGTTGTTGTTGTGTACCATCAAGTAGGAACTCACCCATAGTTGATCTTGCAGCAGGTTTTCAGAGGCTATAAATCACACAGGAGGAGATTGCACATCTTCCTCCCTCAGAGCTGCTGGTGGATTCGAACCTGTGTGCCTTAGGGTTGGAAATGGAATTCCTTACCAACAGGCACCAGAACTCCCTAGAAAACTTATTCAGAACAGAAAGAGGGAGGGAAGGATGTAAAAGAACAGGGTAATTGGTGCAACCACTGTGGAAGGTGGTATGGCACTTTCTCAAAAAGTTACAAATAGACATATCATTTAACCCAGCAATTCCACTACTGGGAATATACCCAAAAGAGACCATAACTGACATCCAAGCAGATATGTGCACACCCACGTTTATCGCGGCTTTGTTCACAAGAACAAGGAGTTGAAAACAACCTAAGTGCCCATCAACAAATGAATGGATAGAGAAGCTGTGGTATATTCACACAATGGAATACTACACTGCATTGAAAAACAAGAAACTCATGAAATATTATACAAAATAGGTGACCCTGGAGGACATTATGCTTAGTGAAGTATCTCAGTCACAGAAGGACAAATACTGCATGGTGCCACTGTTGTAAAACTGGACTGACCTCGGGGCTGGGGGGAGACTGAGAAAGATGGGTTCAATAATGTGTACTGCATTGAAACAGATGAGGGAGAAAACTGTTTAAAAGGGATATGTGATTAGGTAATTTTGTCATGACAGGAGTATAGATGAAGGCTGCATAGTGGAGTGGACCTGGGGGGAGGGATTGTAAAACAATGAAAGAATTTTTCATTTACTTGTCCAAAAGGGGAGTGTACTGGGGGGGGGGGGAGGAGAGGAAAGTGCAAGAATGAATGAATGGAAATCCAAAGTCTCTCTAAATTTTCATTGAAATTAATAATAATAATAAAAAATTTTAAAAAAGAACAGGGTGAGTATAGCTCCCCCTTCTCCTTCACCCTCCCATGCCCTTGGACTATTCTGCCTGTCGAGAGCTGCTATGAAATGAGTTCACAGGACATTTTTTCACAATTTTGTGAGGAACACTACTAGTGGTGGCTGATCTGTGGCCCTTTTCCTTCCTTAACACCTTGCAGAAAATGTCTGGGTGTTACTTTATCACTCTTATCTCTCAGAGGGGTGGAAAGGCCAACGCACTCAGCAGCAAGGTGGGCCACCTGCTGAGTCTTTCTTTCAATTAAATTGCTATTTCCTATCAATATCATAATGTATTTCTCTAAAAGAACAAAACAAACATATAGCAACAAACAAAAACATTGTAGAGAGTCGATTCTGACAGTGACCCTATAGGACACAATAGGGCTATCTCATTGGATTTCCACTGAATGACTAGCAAAGATGTGGAGTTGGGGGAGGAGGAAGTTCAAATCCACGATGCCCTCTGAGGAAAAAATACCATCAGTCTTGCCCATAAAAATTTACTGCCTGGAAAGCCAGACAAAGAAGGCCATTATGAATCAGAATACATTATTTGGCAGTGAGTGCTTATTTTAGCTATGATTTGAAATCTTTATGGAAACAGACTGCCATATCTTTCAGAGAGCTTCTAGTGGGTTCCAAATGCTTGCTTCCCTGTTGGCCACAAAGTGTTCTCAACTCCTGCTTCATCACAGATCCTATTTCATAAGAAGAACCTACCCACTGCTATCAAGTTGATTGACACCTTCCATTTAGGTTTCATAATGGAAGGAGACTGCCCATCTTAGCTGGTGGATTCCAATCTCTGACCTTTGGGTCTTTATCATGTAAATGTACTACCACACCAGAGCTCCTATTTCCAAATTTAAAACAAACAAACACACAACAACAACAACAACAACAAAATATCAAAACAATCCAA